GATCAGAGGCGACTCTATAGCGCTGAAAAGCAGTTGAAGTCCTCGAAAGATCATCTATACAAGAAAATAGGATGGTTATCGTGTGCGAATCTGACCAAAGACATTGATACCACAATAAATGTGGAGGACATCCAACAATGTCAATCTGCGAGCTCATCCAAAAATAAAGGACCACCGAGCGAAGTGTCATCAAAGAAAGATGGAAAGAAGCAACTCGATAAAGTACCTGAACGAACAGATGATGCGGATGATCAAGACACTGATAATTACGTTATACAAGTATGTGCTGTTCAGTACTGTAATTTTGTGGTTGAAGTTACCAAGGGTTATGACTTCAACAGCCATTACGACATGTATCACCCGACGGAGGATCGGACCGTGATGTACGTAGCAGATAACGTCAAGTACCATGAATTTTCCAAACTAAAAAAGCTCTGGAGGGAACAGAGAAACCAAAAGAAGGTTAATGCTTAAAGCCTAAGAAGAAGGTCAACCCAATGCTAAATTCTGATTAAAGTCCTAGGAACTTTTTAAAACTTTTCCCTCCTTTTATCCAATGTACCCTTTTAATAGGTCTAACTTGTCCAAGCCAGAAATTATTTAGTTGATATACTTATGTAAATCTGGAGTACCTCCGTTTAAACAAATGTTTTAGAAAAATACTTTTTAAGGTGGAGTTATCCACCCTAGCCTTAATGTCTGTAACTGTCCCTCACAATGAGAACTCAATCCTGTAAGCACCTTCTTGGTATGAAATAAAACATGCACAAAACCTGAATGACGTGATCCCCAAGTTCATCCATGATAATCCGAGTTACTCCAGTTGGAAATAAATGTCAAACAACCCAACGCTGTCTGCATGACTGCACAGAGCATGCTCAGAGCAAAGCTCCAGCAACAATCAAAGTTCTCCCTGTAAAGCAGCGATACAAAGTATCCAAGTTTTTTGAACAGATAAACCAACTGATTCAGTGAATTCTCCTCTAAAGCAACAAAGTGCCATCATCAGAAAAATGCCTTTAATATTCAATCGTACCACTACTCTGATGGTAAAGTGTAATGACCCATTGTGCCCGTTTGTAGCCCCTTGTAACGGGTATCAAGACTACACGAAAAAGATGCATATCAGGATATACCATAATGGAGTGGAAGACGGTGTTACTTTCACAGAAGCCAGAATTCCTACTTCAGAATTCCGAAGGTTGTCAGACAAATTTTCTCGATGTAACAGACTCATCATGCGAGCGAAACGTAGGGAATCTCCATCTGAATGGAGAGCTAATAAAGCTGAAATAATCAGAGAAGTAATCAATCGAGTAAATGGTGAACAACTATAACCCTGTTATAGTCACTTTCAAATGGAGGCCATCGAATATTAAACCAGATTACTCGTCATCTCATCCAAATTTTTAACCTCTTCAAGTAAATTAGCCTCAACGCTCTTACAAATGGAACCCCACCTTTGAAACGAATTTATTGACATATCAAGTTCATCCAAAAACTAAAACGAATGAACTCGAACATGAGTTAATCGTACCATCAGCAGGGACCTGCCTTACTAGTGCGCATGGGCGAGATGAATATTCTCCTCAAACTCATTCCACAAGTTTACCGTCAACATACAAGATCACCAGTTCGCATTAGCCCCTCAGTTATTAATTAATTAGTTATTACCGATTTATTAACTTTTCAACTATATCAATTCTAATACGATGGCAATGCTC